TTTAGTCAATAGAGATCATTGGAATAATGGTGCTCTACGAGTTTGAATGAATAATATTGTCCGCAGGCACCCATCTGCTGATGAAAAAGTTGAAGAATGTAATTCGTTCTCATAAAGCACTTCTGATCAATGTATTAATCAGCATAATTAACGTATGTGTCATCTAAACCAAAAAGCGTCCCCTACCAAAATTTGGTATTTAAATCGATATTCTGTTTTGCTGGCAGAAATTCTGCGACAGCCTTGTTACTCAGCATGCAAAAACAAATTGAATGTGGGTTTTGAAAGAAAGGAGGCCGTACTAAGAGGCGATCCCATGTTTGAAACGGGCCCTTCTCAGCAGTTGGTTGCACACTCGCAGCACTTCACACAGATATCGAGTGCTCACATTAACGAATTTGTGGTAAGTACCGCAGCTGCTGCAAAATGCACGGCTTACGCCACTAGTAGCAATACATTCGCTAGTAGTTGGTAGCGCACTCACACTCAATCTACAGACTAAGCACGGCGGGTACCACCAACTAAGCACGGCGCGCACCACCAACCTAAGCACGGCGCGCACCACCAACTTAAGCACGGCGTTCACCACCAACTTGAGCACGGCGGGCACCACCAAAGTAAGCACGGCGGGCATCACCACCATCACCATGACTCAAAGTAGTTATAGTGACCGTGGTGATGATGCCTGCCGTGCTTAGGTGGTGGTGATGCACGGCAGGCAGCAGCATCCTCTGGCTTCTGGTAATTATGCGTGCATCACTACCGCCATGGCTTCTGGTAATAGTTGTGGAACTCCTGGGGACCAGAAGAACTAAAACTTGGGTGCGAGGAGCCGTAGATGCAGAGTTTGAACGGGAATATCGTCGCAGGAAGATTTCTTGTTCTTGATGGTGCTTTTTGCAACGAATTTTACCCTCCTTAACACCCTTTACCGCTTGCTGAAAACCCTTACAGTTATAGTCAATCTGCTAAGCGCAGTAAATTTGTAAAATACTCATTGTTTGGGAGTTGCACATATTATCTTGTAAGTGTGCCAATGAAAGAACGTTGACAGACTCAAGCCTTATTACATCATGCCAGATCTCACAAGTGAAAATGTAGAGAGTGATTGGTTCGCGATCAACCCTCCTCGGTCAAAGGATCGAGTTAGGGACTCGTGTTGTAAAACAGGGAACCAACCCTGCTATCGGCTTCAACAATCTGCGAATTTGAGACGAGTCTCGGGCACTGACTCCACATGTACGTGCCACACCAGAACTATCCCTTCAGTATTGAGAAGTCACTAACGGCTTTCAAATTTTTCCTACGTCAGTTACCATTTCACTTCAAAATAAGCGCTCTGCTAAAATGATGTAACAATTATGCACATATTACGCCATCGTGAAGCGCGCATTTCCTGTATATGGACATCTTTCGCTCCACGCTCTCGCTCGCTGAAAGCTTATTCAGAGAGATTTGAGCTACTGTATAAGTAAAGTGCCGAATAACTTTAGGTTTGAACTTCATAAGGGGCGTCAACATTGATTTCCATACAGTAGATGCTGCGACGAATCAAGTGCGCTATGACAGTACTGAGAGGAAACTGAGGAAGGTGTGAATCGCTTCAGTTACACCTCGAAGCAGGCTGGAATGGGACCCTTACTCACCCGTACTGAGTCTCGATACATCTGCATCTGACTTTTTCCATCACCAACTTCATCCTCAGCCGGCTCAGAATATCTACAACGCGACAGCCCGATTCACTAGAAATAAAACCATTACGCAACTACAATCGGCATTAGCTGGAGCAGTCCGAGCCGAAGTCGCTGAGGACCGCGTGTCAATGGGAGTCAGTAGCGACAACAAAACAGAGGAACCGCCAAGGAAATGCAAAGCGGGACATCCTTGTTTGGCCGTAGACTTTCGCTCACTGATGAGCAACTACAGCGGCCGTAAAGGCGAGTTTGCCGCTACGCATGTGGAGCTACCATGTCAAACCATATACCTAACCACCGCCAGTCAACTTGCTGCAGTCGCGTCGCTGCTGGCAACACAGCTCGCCCAGATCACCAAATAAACTACGAGTGTAGCCCCAGCGCAACTTTTCGTCGTTGAAAGCTTCATCGTTCCTGAGGCAGCTTGGGTGGGATACTATGGTTCTTGCACTCCCCTTTTCTCGCTTCTTTAAATATAACATCTTCGAGATCAGGATAGGCCTATTTATCCCCCGACCAGCCGATAACGCCACCGTAAAAGCACTGACTCTCTACATAGATACCTATAGAAGATAGATAGATCTCTACATAGAAACCCTGTTAAAGGCATTTCACTAATCATTCTTTAGTTCCGGGCGCTCCCTATAAAATCATGATCAGCTCTCCCCGACGGCGAAAAGTCGAAACCCCCTTCAAACAATATTCTCCACTATCAGGCCAGTCTACGTAAGAGCTTACTGAAATTTAGGAGATTCCCGTGTTTCCCTTCTCGCCCCTCCATAGAAGAAGACCCCGTTCCCTTATAAAGACCTCTACCTTGTGGTCAGCTAGGGCCCCAGTCCATCGAAGCTTTAATCACCACTGCTTGAAACGGTGCTTTTCTGCTCCAAGTATGTGAAGTTCCACTCAACCGGTCAGCCTGACACTCACATTCAACCCTATGTTGCGTCAAGTACCAACGGGGGGGGGGGTCGTCTTTTGTAGAGGTCGTGGGTGGTGGGGGGGGTCGTAGTGTGAGCAGCAGTAAAAAATTTCCTGTTTCACTGCACGTATATGTATGTACCAACGACGGGTTGAACCTGCTATCACTTCTAAGGAAATTTCAACAAACTCCGATTCGCGGCTTATCCGTGAACCACAATTGGCTGTCAGTTTCGTTGTCATAGAAATAAAAAACTGTTTTATATATGCTTACCCGATGCGATTCACCTCTTACGCTAAAAATACAAGATGAATTAAATAATAATCAAATAGATACAGCAAATATGATAGTGATTTTATCAGAAATCTCAAGGGCAACTTTAGCACTTCTTATTTTGTTTTTTATTTTTTGCGTGCGCACATCGTGCACATCTAGCGCAAATCGCAATACATGGTGTAATCATGAAAAACAACGATTTCCAACAAGTCATAGAAAATGTACATCATCGAACATCAAACAATAAAAGGAAACCTAAGATGAAAATACACAAAACGCAAGTTGAGCATACGAGGTCACACACAACAATCGCCATACGCGGCAACGGACGAGTTGCAGGCCTCTGAGGGGGGGGGGAGAGCGAGAAGGGGAGGGGCGAAAAATGCGAAAAACGAGTGTGCGGGCGTAGAGTGCAGCGGAGGCGCAGCAAACACAAAAAGGAGGCGAACGTGAACGAAAGCGGTGTGTGGAAGCGAGTAAATCACTTGAATCAGCACAGAATTCACTAAAAGAACTGAAATGGAGAAAAGTTCAGACTGACAAAAATAAGAAGTTCGCACATCAATTTTCAGCACGGGCAACATTAGTACACAGTTAGGTGGCTGAGAAACCCGTATATCAAAGCGCCGGTTGGAACGAAACGGATAGAGAGGAGGAGACTGGAGAAGAAGGATGGACGAAAACACGAACGACTACAACGTGAACGAAGAAGAATGTGACACCTAGCGTTACGGTTGAATATTAAATAATATACAGGTAAATGTAAAAGTAAATCTCTCAAGTGATATCACTGCACCAGTGGGTCGAAGGGGTCGAGCCCGGGGGATCGGGGGGGGGGGTTCAAATTGGCGGCGAAGAGCGAAAAGATGAGGCACTACTAGAAGCGGTGATGATAGTGAAGACAGGGAAAGTGGCATCATTGATATTCTGGACCAAAATCTGGGATATTCACGTCTCGATAGCCCTTCAGCCAGTACGTCGTTAACCGTCCTTTACCCTTCATCTCGACTTCACCTCGTAGCTCTAATCGGAAACCCGTGTCCTTGCTCAGAATCTCCTTCGTCACCGACGAGACATGAATTCGCAGTGCTGAAAAAGTGATAATTTAGCCAATATTGAAAACATTGGATTATTTATTGTGCGAGGTGAGATACGCCATGCACCCAATTTATGTAGAATTGTAAATGCAGTTGGAAGGTATTGCGTCTATACAAGGACTTGAGGAACCAGCCCAGCCGACGCACTGATCGTGGTGACCTCTAGCTACATACCATATGGCGTCATTATTTTTGGGACCACCTTATTGGACATGAAGCTCACCCCGGCAGGGCCCGAAACACGACAACAACGCTTTTATGGGATTTTTTTATGGCGAAGCCGCGGTTCCATCCTCTCCCCAAATGACACCTGCTTCTCCGGGCTCTTGACACCGGGCTTTTAGACCCCTCCGACGGTAGGCCAAATCAGTATAGGTGACAAGTAGATTTGTCTGAGGAGAAGAACTCAGGATTGTACATGGACGGGCAACAGGATTGTGTATGGGTCAATCGACTTCAAATAACCACTATATGAATAGACATGCATGGGACTTGGAGGATCGACCAACGCATTTTATCATGTGCGGCAATCATGGGTGGGAAGGTGCGATGGAGGTGGGCTTGACTGCCACAATCTGCAAGAAAGGCGGCTGTTTCTGGTCGGTTCTCCACGGTGAAGCTGTGTTCCGTAACCTACTCAATGGCGCATCTCGTCCCTGATTTGACGCGAGGTAAAGGGTCTTCTAAGGATGCGTGCCGTGTGGCTAACTGACTTGCTTTCCGCACCATCGCAGGGCCAAGAACAAATATATAAAGAGGAAAAAAGCGAAGAAGCGCTAAAATAACTCACGTAGTCCATTGCTTTCCATTCGACTCGAGGTGTTCACCGTGTCGCCGAAGAGACAATAGCGAGGCATTTTTGAGCCGACAACACCGGCCACTACGGAGCCGGAATGCATTCCGATACGCAATTTGAGCTGATCGTTCGGTCGATGCCGTATCACGAAGTTCTTCACCTTGTGCAGCAGCGCCAAACTCATCTGTGCGATCTGCGACGCGTGGTCGTCCCTTCGCTCCGGAAGACCCGACACCACCATGTAGGCGTCACCTGAACCATATCGCTTGAGCATGAAAATTAGTCGTAACCCGCCTCAGAACTCACAAAAGTATAGCCCTTGAGGGGTCAGCCCTCGTGTTGGGACAAATTTTATAATCCGATTATCCCCTTGCCTCGGAGGGTCACCCATGCGGCCCCACTACAGTCACCCTGGAGGGATTCCTCACCAGCCATACAAAGTTACTGAAACGGCTGATTCTGCGTAATTTCGCACAATTTATCTACTTTTCAATGGAGTTTGTTTGAAATACCTCCTCCCCCTCCCATTTCCTACAATCACGACCCCTTCCCTGGAAACACGTTCTTTCAATTTCCACCACCACGACCCCTCTAAGAAATCACATGTACGACCCTCCCTTTCGAAGCGCCCCTTCCTAAACTAACGGTTCACCCTTTGTAATTCCGAACAACA